AAAAAAATATCCTGAAAATGTGCAAAATCCTAGAAAAAATATCCTGAAAATGTGCAAAATCCTGGAAAAAATATACTGAAATGTGCAAAATCCTAGAAAAAATGTCCTGAAAATGTGCAAAATCCTGGAAAAAAATATCCTGAAAATGTGCAAAATCCTAGAAAAAATATACTGAAAATGTGCAAAATCCTTAAAAAAAATCCTGAAAATGTGCAACATCCTTAAAAAAAATATCCTGAAAATGTGCAAAATCCTTAAAAAAAAACATCCTGAAAATGTGCAAAACCCTAGAAAAAAAATCCTAAAATGTGCAAAATCCTGGAAAAAAATATCCTGAAAATGTGCAAAATATTGACCACATAATTAATTAGCTCTTTGAACTCTAATTGATATGTGACAAGATAGCTTTCCACAGTTGATAATACATTAAGAATTGGAACATTATGTATGTTTGGAAAGCTTCAACAGAAAATGCAAAACTTGACATTTTTAGAAAACAGAAAGTTTGAAAAATCCCTTCTCGGATTCTTTAGATGTTACATTTCACACGGTGCATTAATAAATTCTAAAGTTGGATATATGTTTTCAGGCCTTGCAGTGAAAAGGACATAACTATTTTTAGAAGATAAACGAGAATTTAAGCTTGCAGGAATTTTAAAACTGTTTTTATTATTATGGACTTTCAACGTCTAAAATTTAAGACACACACTAGAATAAATTTCAGAACTGATTTATTTTTTTTTAAATTTTGTCAGAAAAAAAATTATTTTTGTTCTTTTCGAATTTCATCATTATTTTTATTGCTTTTTTTTTAGTTTTTTGAATTAATATTTTATTTGATACCTTATTCCTCATCTAAGTAAATTTTCTAATGTTTAATCTTTACAACCACACTCAATTGAAATAAAGCAACGCTAGAAACGCAAGAAATCCTTCAAAACAAAATGTACAGATATAACCAGAAAACAATGGAATAGAAAGACGACATCATGGCAATGCTTCAGCGTTTGATTTTGTTATATATATAAAGCAAATATTTTCTAGTAATTTAGCGAAGCACAATTTTCTGGTTATCACTGTTTTGAAATAATTAATTATTTTTGTTTCTTGATTTTCTTTNCTTTAGTTTCCTGTAATATTTGTATACACACCGTGTTGTTGTTGTGTGCCGGAGTTTGTATTGTTTGATTTGTCTGACTAAAGTTGACCTTCGCGGCTAGTCTAGGTACAAGTAGCTCACTAACCTAAACACAGCGGGGGGTAGTATTATTGACAATATGTATAATACATCAGGAGCATATATTTTAGAGGAAAACCCACTTCCCCGGGGAAAATTATTTTCGACGATATTTTTCAAAGGTGGAATAAAAAATTAATTTTAAATATTTATTTTACATGTTTAATACTTAGTACGCGGCCAACAAAATTTATTTTCCCTAAAAATCAGTAGTATCCTTCAACGCAATAAAAAAAATTGTCTTTAACATTTCGGCATTAACGGGGTTTTAATTATTTTTGGAAGAAGAGGGGGAGGGATGATTTTTCGAAGTAAATATATTCCCCTGTTATATATCTTTAACTTGGGGGGTGGGAGCCCCCCCGCCAAAGCCCGCAATTGCATTATTTGCCTTTTCTATTCTACAGGGTAACCTTATAAACATGACGATTAATTTTTTTTTCTAAGCGTGCTTTTGGGGGAAAAATTGTTTAAGATAAAAAGAAGATGTATAGAACCCTTTTGAAATACCAATAATACAAGGTTGCACTCAAGATTATAATGCAAGGAGAGTTATTTCAGAGGTGTACGCATCTTTTTCACTACAGTGTATTGTCTCTGGGCGGTAATGTAAACACAAGACGGATGTCGAAGCCTGACATGGAATCCATCTTTAACATAAAAAATAATGAACTATTCTGGTTATAGGAAACTATTATGTGAATTATCGAAATTATCAAAATTTAAGCTTTTAGCCTCCTCGGATAATAAACGAACACTGATGCATCTATTCTTGTTTGCAAATTCCGCCCATGCATAGAGAGTATACGCAGAGTATTCGCAACTGCAATTAAATTTCCTTGCATTAAAACCTTGGTTGCACTAAACTGGTAACAGACGACGACTTGAAGGTTGGTTTTGATCTTTGAGATCAAATTGTGTATTAAAAACAAATTTCTTGACTTTAAAGCTTTTCAGATGGTAGAAAAGCGCATGTTTTGATACAAATATTGTCAAAGATAAAGTCGTAGCTTTCAGCTGTCATGTTTCTGGGGACACTCTGTTCCTGCAAACTTTTGAAAACACTCTTTTTAATTCATCAACTAACTATAATCAAAGATTATCTAGACATATTGTAGTCTTTATCTATTTATTTATGTACGTATGTCACCCTGGACTGACCAAAGGTAGATGTGTTCGGTTTCTTTAATTTGAATTCAATCACGTCTTGGTCTATAATTCAACAATCTTCCGACTTTTTTTTTACTTTTTCCTAAAAAACGTATCAACGAAAAAATGATGTTTGATTGTTCAAATTGGAATTAAAATTGACAGTTTGTGTGTACAAAGACCGCACGGTTAAATCAGTGTGATGTATCACCTCTTCCGGAGAGACAACAATATCGGGTATACATGTGTTCTCTACATGTTCTCCATTCAACTCCGCTAAAAGTCGTCTTTGGTCCGTTTTGTTCATCTCTCTGAAGTTCTTTAATAAACTCGCAAAATCCTGGAAAAAATATACTGAAAATGTGCAAAATCCTGGAAAAAATATACTAAAAATGTGCAAAATCCTGGAAAAAATATCCTGAAAATGTGCAAAATCCTGGAAAAAATATTCTAAAAATGTGCAAAATCCTAGACCAAAATGTCCTGAAAATGTGCAAAATCCTAGAAAAAAAATCCTGAAAATGTGCAAAATCCTGGAAAAAAATATCCTGAAAATGTGCAAAATCCTAGAAAAAATATCCTGAAAATGTGCAAAATCCT